TACCATTCCTTCTGAAACTATTCTAAACAATGCAAAAAGAGGGACTCTTCCCTAACTCATTTTATGAGACCCCCATTATCCTGATACCAAAACTTGGCAGAGACACAGCTAAAAAAAAAAAAAAATTTCAGGCCAATATCCATGATGAACACTGATGCAAAAATCTTCAGTAAAATATTGGCAAACTGAAAACTGAATCCAACAACACATCAAAAGGCTTATCCATCACCATCAAGTTGGCTTCATCCCAGGGATGCAAGGCTGGTTCAACATCCGAAAATCTGTAAACGTAATCCATCACATAAACAAAACCAAATTATCTCAATAGATCCTGAGAAGGCCTTCAACAAAATTCAACAGTCCTTTATGCTAAAAGCTCTAAATAAACTAGGTATCCATGAATCGTACCTCAAAATAATAAGAGCTATTTATGACAAACCCACAGTCAATATCATACTGAATGAACAAAAACTGGAAGCAATCCCTTCGAAAACTGGCACAAGACAAGGATGCCTTCTCTCACCACTCCTATTCAACATATTGGAAGTTCTGGCGAGGGCCATCAAGCAAGAGAAAGAAATAAAGCGTATTCAAATAGGAAGAGAGGAAGTCAAATTGTCCCTGTTTGCAGATGACATGATTGTGTATTTAGAAAAGCCCATGGTCTCAGCCCAAAATCTCCTTAAGCTATTAAGCAACTTCAGTAAAGTCTCAGGATACAAAATCAATGGCAAAAATCGCAAGCATTTCTATACACCAGTAATAGACAGAGAGCCAAATCATAAGTGAACTCCAATTCACAATTGCTACAAAGAGAATAAAATACCTAGGAATACAACTAACAAGGAATGTGAAGGACCACTTCGAGGAGAACTACAAACCACTGGCTCAAGGAAATAAGAGAGGACACAAACAGATGGAAAAACATTCCATGCTCATGGTTGTGAAGAATCAATATTGTGAAAATGGCCATACTGCCCAAGATAATTTTAGATTCAAAGCTATCCTCATCAAGCTATGAATGACTTTCTTCACAGAACTGGAAAAAACCACCTTAAACTTCATATGCAACCAAGCTGTAGGCATCATGTTACCTGACTTCAAACTATATTACAAGCCTACTGTAATCAATACAGCATGGTACTGGTACCAAAACAGAGATATAGACCAAGGGAACAGAACAGAGGCCTCAGAAAGAATGCCACAAAACTACAACCATCTGATCTTTGACAAACCTGACAAAAATAAGCAATGGGGAAAGAATTCCCTTTTTCATAAGTGGTGTTGCGAAAACTGGCTAGCCATATGCAGAAAGCTGAAACTGGATCCCTTCCTTATACCTTATACAAAAATTAACTCTAAATGGATTAAAGATTTAAACATGAGGCATAACACCATAAAAACTCTAGAAGAAAACTTAGGCAATACCATTAAGGACATAGGCATGGGCAAGGACTTTATGACTAAAACACCAAAAGCAATGTCAACAAAAGCCAAAATATACAAATGGGATCGGATTAGACTCAAGAGCTTCTGCACAGCAAAAGAAACTATCAATAAAGTGAACCGGAAACCAACAGAATGGGAAAAAATTTTTGCAATCTACCCATCTGACAAAGCTAATATCCAGAATCTACAAAGAACTTAAACAAATTTACAAGAAAAAAACAAACAACATCATCAAAAAGTGGGCAAAAGATATGAACAGGCACTTTTCAAAAGAAGACAGCTGTACAGCCAACAAACATATGAAAATAAGCTCATCATCACTGGTCACTAGAGAAATGCAAATCAAAACCACATTGAGATACCTCACCCCAGCTAGAATGGTGACCATTAAAAAATCAGGAGACAACAGATGCTGGAGAGGATGTGGAGAAACAGAAACACTTTTGCACTGTTGGTGGAAGTGTAAATTAATTCAACCATTGTGGAAGACAGTGTGGCAATTCCTCAAGGATCTAGAAATAGAAATATCATTTGACCAGCTATCCCATTACTGGGTATATACCCAAGGATTATAAATCATTCTATTATAAAGACACATGCACACCTATGTTTATTGTGGCACTGTTTACAATAATAGTAAAGACTTGGAACCAATTCAAATGCCCATCAATGATAGACTGGACAAGGAAAATGTGGCACATATACACCATAGAATACTATGCAGCCATAAAAAAGAATGAGTTCATGTCCCTTGCAGGGACATGCATAAAATAGAAACCATCCCGGGCGTGGTGGCTCAGGCCTGTAATCCCAGCACTTTGGGAGGCCGAGGCGGGTGGATCACGAGGTCAAGAGATCGAGACCATCCTGGTCATTATGGTGAAACCCCGTCTCTACTAAAAATACAAAACATTAGC